ACTGTTTAGGTAAATAGTACATGAAGACAAAAAAATTATCACTTGTTGATAATTTGGTATCCTAAATTATGGGTTAGTAACCAAAAAAGTCCGGTCAATATTATTTGTAGAGCTTCAGAAAAGTGCAATTCTCGTTGCAGAATGATAAGAAATTGAGGAACATAGCTTTCTGCATAGGGAACATTGAAAGTGGAGAAGTGAGCAAAATTCAGCAGTTCAATCTACACTTTATTCTGGAAAGTTTTTTAATAGTGGAAAATTCTTCGAAACAAGATGTCTTTGTAAAGAACTTTCAGTAAGACAACCTCAAAATTTTCCCAGCATGAAATTACTTTAGCTGGACTGCTGTTTTTGAAAACTGAGCTTGTGGCTACCGAATCTGATTTGAGCACTTGTAGTTTATTGCTGGGCGTGTGTAGCCACGGATTCCATGCAGGATAATTCGTTTGATTGGCAATTTGTCGAAACTCGCCCCGAAATGGCTATGGGCTCGTATTCGTTGGCCATTTTGACGACTCACTCTCATCAAGCTCACCTCGTAAGGATCCCGGATGTTTGGACACGATGGGATAATGCGAAGAGGAACCTCTTAGTTTTTGTATTTGAGCAAATAAACTAAACAATTAAAGATAAATTTAGACGTCAGCATATAAGAGGGCTTGGCACAAGCTGGCAGCAGGGAGATTCCAAGACGAGGTTCTCCCCTTTGATCTTGAAAATCTCGAACAAAGTCCACCTTGAACCTAAACCCCGAACGTAAATAACTTCAAAAACGAAAGGTCCACTGAAAAATGTTGCAATTTTTGCGTCTTTTCGACCTCAACAACGATATCTCCTTTGTTTCTTGTCCCAAAAACGATATCCAGCTGACCCGGTGCCAGTAGTACCGAACCGGGGCATATAAGGGCAAAAAAAAAGTTGAACAACCGACAATGACTTGGCCTCGGTCTCTTCTAGAGCCCATATGGGCTCTAGAAGAAACCAAGGCTTTTAGAAAATCCTCCCTTCTCTGCAAAAAAACACAAATATGTACGAGAAACGCACACAAATATAATAGTAAGCAAGTTCCGATGTACAGATAAATTACATCTTATTCTTCTCAAAAGCAAATCACTATTTTGACATTTGCAAACATGGTAAAGAGCATAAGCAAATGCTCGAAGATGAAACTCGGATCATATTTAAAAAATATGGCAGTTCAAGCATACTCCTCATTTCTACGGTTTTTATCTGTTTATATCCTTTTCCATGTATAAATTCAGCAACCTTCGGTTTAGTTCAGCGTTCTGAGTTCAGAGCAATCTGCTTGCTTTCCTGTATAGTACTTTGAGAAGTCGTAACACTGGTATCTGTATTCGTATATATCAAGTACGGCTTCCATTACCTTCGAAAAAAAATTTGTCTACTTAGAAGCAGTGAATATTCGTAATGTTATATGACAAGTTGAATCAGGCATTATGGTGGCTTATGCTTTGTGAAGCTCGTATAACCAAGTTGAACCAAAAGTTCGTTTGCAGCATTTTCAAAAATTCATAACTGCTTGAATTTTTAAAGAATTTGTAAAATCCTAAATTTGTCCAAAACGGGAAGTCATGTGCTTTACTGTAGCGCTCGAAAGACTTGAAAAGCACGCAAACGTTACAGAGATAGAAGCTGTAGATAAAAATTACTCAAATTTTGGTTTTGCTGTGTAGTGTTACCACAAATCTAAGACCTGCGCTAAAAATCGTAACAATTCTTGGTACTACAGGTTTATGAAATGCTTAAATTTGAGGAAAATAAATGATTGAGCCAGCTTTTTTTTTGAAAAGTTATGAATTTCGAGCAAGCAGTTCAAACGACAATTTCGATTTTTTTTTGACATTTTCTTTAAAAAACTAACTTTCCATGGGAAAGCTCAAACAACATACAGTCGATTCATTTCATATGATCATGTGTGTCATTGCACACACACTCCACCTTTGGCGTTCTCATCCTGGATTCTGGGAGGAAACATCTCTTCGGGGACGTGTTTTCAATGTGTTTATTTATATTTCTTTGCTTTTTAGGTACTAACCACCTCAAATTCATGTAATCGATAACAATCGCTAAGTCTCTTGCGTTTCTGCAATTGCAAATCCAGGATGAGAACGCCAAAGGTGGACTGTGTGTGCAATGACACACATGATCATATGAAATGAACCGGCTGTACTTTTCGATTAGAGAAAGAGCGGGTGATGAAAAGTTAAATTTTAGGCAATTTTCAAATTTTTGGAAACAGTACTTTCTTTTTTACAACTTTCATCTCTGCAATGTTCAAGTGTCAGAAAGTCTTTCAAATGCTATCGATGCAGACCTGCATCCTCTGTCCAACTACTGAATATTCAGTGCGATTCGTTGAGAGTGCTAAGATAATCGCTAGGAATTACAAACTCTTTTTCACCGTGCCTAGTTTTCGCTGATTTTAAAAATTTTTGTATGAGACCTTTGGTGGAGTTGGGGGAGCCTGCAGGTAGGACAAACCTCTTGCCAACTGAGGGAATTTTTCTTTTTTCACTAATCTTTTTGAAGTATGCTAGAGTTGTTACTGACCTCACAAAGTAAATGCGGGAGTTTTGTTCCGAAACAGAAAAGATTTTGAAACATAGGCTACGACAGTGCGCACTCTTGAAATCAAGAAATACGGCGATTTCCCCCGCAAGTTTCGTGTATTTTGCCAAAAAAGATATGTGTGAGAAAGACGAGAATAAGTTGCATGGAATGGTACCTGAACTGTTTATCATTTCGTTCTATGAGGTAAGGCCGGTAAATTTTGATTGTTTAAAAAATATACTTTAGAAATACTGAAAGGCAAGCCACAGACAAAAAACTGCTTTAATGGCAAAGGTTATTGAAGCTCCCTCAAAAGCTCCCTATCTGCTGACTATCAAAGATTTTTAAACATTTCAAATAAAATTTCCGAAGACCTGTGGAAGTTAGATTTGGAGAAAACGGGGTTGTAATTTCCAACGATTATCTCAGCACTCTCTCAATGTATCACACTGAATATCCAGCGGCGGGAAATACGATAAAATTCTGCATCGGGTATAGTGTGAGTACTTGTCTTATCTTAACTGTACGGGATTTGCGGGTTAATTAAAAAAAACTGACAAAACTTTTGCACAGACCTATTAGAAGAACATTGCATTATAGAATTTTTAGGAATTTGACATCAAATGGATTGCGGAGTGTCGTCTATAGATTCGAAACTCAGATTATACTGTTTCAAGGTAATGAGCTTTCCTTATGCGGCCGCCGCACTGAGAATATCAAAGTGCAAGAAATAACGATTTAACACATCGACGACAGCTTGACATACATGGTGTGTCAAGACTGTCGTCGATGACTTCACGCGATTTGATCGTCGCGATTCAAGCGCCGCGATTTCCATTCATTTCCATTTTACATTCAAAAATTTCGGGCTGGAAAAGTATCACAACCGAATGCAAGTTGATTGGCATGGAATGATGTTGTAACAGTTGTCTTTTCGCGATTCAATCGCGACGATCAAATCGCGTGAAGTCTGTCCGGGGCCTGATACACCATGTGTGTCAAGACTTGAATTTTGTAAACAGACTACTTTAGATAGATAGACTCACTCCACGAACTTTCTTTTGCACTGAATCTAGAAATGACCTCTATCTTTTTTATTAGCTTTTTAGATTTACTTATCTATACTGTAGATGGCAGCGTGCGTAATTATAGTTGAAAAATGTGGGCTGGTCCATAAAAGGCCTTGGTCCCAGAAGGCAGACAACTAAAAATCTGCATGGTCGTCAATGTGTTAAGCAAAACAAACTAAACAAGACAGCTATAACATTGTCTCAGAAACATGCTCTGAATCAATTTGGAAGCCCCAATCAAAAAGTGATTGGTTTCACCGAAAACTAGAGCTTCGCTGAAAAAAGTCTTCCAAGGCTTCCCACTTGGTCTTATAGTAGCATAATAAATAAAATAAACGGAGTTCCTGAAATTTTTTCAAGGCTAAAAGTGAAGAAATGAAAATAAGCCAAAAATATAAACATGTTGCATTTTGGCTTTTTTCTGCTAAATGTGATTTTTCTGACTATGGCACATAAAGGGATGAAATCTGTAGAACACAACTATATATGTGAAACTAACGGACGTTTGTGTTGCCAATTTTGCCACCAAATGTTTAGAGCTGAGATTCAATCTTTGAAAGCTCAATGCTTCCAGATTGATTTCGAATGAGTGATTATGATTTAAGGGATATCTGGTATTCATTTGGCTGAGAATGCCTTGCTCTATCGAACTCAAATTGCGACTGTGGCAGAAAAAACACACTACATTTGCGTCAACCTAATACAAACATGTCACTCAATTTATCTTGACTTAACATTTCAGTTTATCTATCGTACCAAATAAAATTTTCCCAAAGAGCTTTGCAATCCCGGGGAGGACTCTTGATTTTTGTCTGATTTGCAGGAGAAAAGAGCTGCAATGTCGAATAAACTTTCCCACTCACGAGTAAGTAACTAAAATGTCACCTACAATTTTCACGTCAAATGGCAAGAAGAGTACAAGCAATTGTTAGCAGAGTATCTGCAATTTAGGCTCTTTACATGCTGGGTGCAGTTGAAACTGCTTTTGAAAGCGATTATACCAAAATGGAAAAAACCAGTTCCGCTCGAGTAGACATAGACTATCTCATTTACTCGTAGATTAGGTCCCCTTGAACACAAACATACCATTAAGAGAGCCAGCAATAAGCCACATAAACACAAAAGAAGGATGACTTCAGCGAACACTAAGTTGCTTTTGCGAAAACGAACAATTGAACAAGTGCACATAATTACTCTTTGGCATCTGCAGTGAAAACAATTTTGAGCTACTATAAAATGAACTTGAGATAACTCCTCTTACTCATTGTCTGCAAACAGTGGCTGAGGGAGAGCCAAGGCAAGTGCTTGTTTTTAGGGGGGGGGGGGGTCCTCCAAGTAAGTTATATTTTTTGTTGCAGCATGCGGAAATCTTTTTTTGCCGTCACGGCAGCTGGTACAGCCTTCCTAACTCTGGTCTCTGTCGTTGTTATCATTTATTTGGTGCATGATATCAATGACTTCTACGATGAAGCGATTAAGGAACTTTCGGAGTTCAACGTGAGTACTTTGCCCAACCTGCCTTAATGAACCTGCTGCAGAAAAATCTTCTAGGGTTATGCCGAATCCGCATGGCATGAAATGCGACCATCACCCCGTGTACGACAGAAAAGGAGCGGTTCCTCCAAACAAGAACCCAGAAAAACTCGCCAATGGCCAGCACACTGCGCTTGTGGAACGGTATCGAGGGGCTGTCCTGTTGGACCACCTGGTCCACCAGGCTTGCCTGGACTTGATGGAGAGCGTGGCCCTCCAGGTGCGCCGGGTAGACGCGGAAATGACGGTATCAGCATAAGTGGTGGAGGTGGAGCAGGTGGATGCATAGCATGCCCGCCGGGACCTCCAGGACCTGCAGGACCCGATGGACACCCGGGTTTACCCGGACCCCCGGGAATGCCTGGACAAAGTGGAGCTGGAGGAGGCATGGGTCCACCAGGACCGCCCGGACCTATGGGAGACCCCGGGCCAGGTGGAGCGCCTGGGAATGCAGGAGCACCAGGCATGCCAGGAAGCCCGGGACAACGCGCCAAGGGCACAATGGGAGCGCCCGGAATGCCAGGTCCAATGGGAGCGCCTGGCCTACCTGGGCCAGCTGGACAATTTGGTGGAGCGCCATCGCCCGGTCCACCTGGCCCAATGGGACCACCTGGAAGGCCCGGCCAACCAGGACCAGATGGAATTCGGGGACCTCCTGGATCTTCTGGTGTGCCAGGCGGTGATGGTCACTACTGCCCTTGTCCACCTCGTCATATCAAGCGAAGGAACAGTGTTGGCACTTCACGCAAGAAAGAAACTTTTCAAGAATTTGCACTTTCGAAGAGCAAGGTTCATGAAGGCAACGTTTCCATCAAAAGTACCCGTAGTGTTCGTAAGCAGAAGAAAGCACGCAGGCTTTCCAAAATTTAGTTGATTAATCGTTGATTGCTGTTAGTCTGCTTTTCTTTTCTCAACAAAGCCGCTGATAGTAACATTAAACTTTATTTGATCAAATAAATAGTCTTAATGGTTGGTTTTCTGTAATGACTGAAGCTTTTGAAGGCTTCGTCCGGGCAAACCTGGCCTTGGATCGCACTGGACACTTATTTTGGAGTAACTGAGGTAGCGGTTACCCCATCCTGCTGCCAATTTCCTAGTTTAAGCGACTTTATGTATAACCTTAGATCATTGTAGAGAAACAAACTTCGCGTTCTCTTTGCGAACAGATGGCAATCAATTTTGACAAACTTTTTCGTCAAATTTTTGGCTTTCTACCCATAATCTCCTCTCTGCTACTAATCACACATCCTGCTACGCTCTCTAGTGATCAGACATCATATTTTGACCAGCCACTCCAAACAAGCTGTATATCGGCGGACTCGCCTTAAACGCCTTTCAAACATGTTTTTTATCTGCCGAGCGACTATGTGGGAGGAGTTATGAGCGTTTGAATACGAGAAATCTTTCGAATTTCGACGAATAATCTCTTTGAAGGGCAGCCTGATGGCGCTGATTTAGTGGCCACGAAGATTTTAATTACAAGGAAGAAGCACATTTACCAAAAACCTAGATAAGCGTTTTTGAAACCTATTTCGTGGAACATTTGCCGCAAGACACTTGACAAATCGCACATTCAAAAGGTCATAACTCCTCTTAGGTAGTCGCTTGGCAGATAATAAGCGTATATTTATCATCAACATTTCACGACGAGTCCGATGATATACAGGGTGTCCGTAAAGTACGTATACACCGTTTGATCGTTAATATCCTTCTTTCCAACAAGTCTTTTGCCCTGCTTCAGATACCGTTTTGTAGAGCTAGCTTCAACTTAGATTTACAGTATGGAGTGAATCACCGATCGCTCTTCATTACTGTAGGATTACGGTAGAAATTTGAAACATATGGTGTCATTGTGGAAAAAGCTGCCGTTTCAAGATTTCTCAAAAAAATATGAAAACTTGTGTAATAGGGTTTTTATGGACGTTGAGTTCAATACACAACTATTCACAAAATTGCGAAGCTTTCTAAACGGTGTAACCGCACTTTTTAGGAACATTGAAAAATGGCCGCTACCTATTACCCAGCATAACTCTTCAATGAAGCATCATGATAAGCTGGGAACTTTACAGTTAGAATCAACAACTCTAATTAGCCTTGTAAAAGCTTTCAGGCTGTTTTGTTTCCTTTCTGAGGCAAAATATGACCCTTCATGGCTCAAAATCCTCTTTAAAGTTTCTACCGTAATCCTACAGTAATGAAGAGAGATGAGTGATTCATTCTATACTGCAAATCTAAGTTGAAGCCAGCTCTACAAAAGATACCTGAAGCAAGGCAGAAGACTTCTTAGGAAGAAAGATATCAACGATTAAACAGTGTATACATACTTTACGGACACCCTGTATAGTATGTTTGGCATGCCTGGGTTGAGTTCTGACTATTCCCTGCTAAGGAACTAACAGAATGATATCACGTATGGAAACTCTACTTTGATGGAGGATCTTTTCCTTGTTAGACCTAAAGCATACTTCTCACAATCCCGTCTAATCGCTGCATCCAAGCGACTTGGAGATTTGCCAGATGCCTATTAATCAACCGTGCAGGAAACTCACAGAGTAAGCAAAAACCACTCCATAACGAAGTTTCTGCCAACGGTAAGGTCACCGAAGATGTTTGCTGTGTAAAGTGGGTAAGATTTCCGTAATCAGCTTCCAATTCCTATACTTGCTGTACAGACCACAACCTATTACATTTTCTTGTGTTTCTTCATGTCCAGAAAGCGCGATTTTCAAGCATGATTAACTTGGTCACAAAAGTAAAGGAAGTCTGCTTTCTTGCGCTCAAAACGAAGTAACACTTCTTATTAATCTATGGTAGAAATTAGATCTCCTGTCGCTTCCAATAAGTGAATCAAGAAGTGCTGTACAAAATTTCGATCACCGCGTATTCTACCTTGAGTGCTTCAACTCCACCGATCACCACAAAGCCGGAACAAGTCTAAGCGAGCTCAAACACCTATTATATTAGGTTGTAAAGAAAGTTCCCGGGCACTTTTAGAAATTTCATTTTCAAAGGCATTTTTTCGGCGCTCGGTCGGACTTTGACACCAAGTGTTGTATAGTGTTCAGTAGAGCGAAGCGTAAACTTTTCAATACCGCTTCTGATTTCTATCGATGCCAAGACGTATTTGACCTGCGCATCGATAAATGAAATCTTTCCAACCATAAAAATTTCGCAGTTTTTCTTTCTGAGCCCATTTTTCTGTGCACTTCAAAGAATTCCGTCCAAATCATAAGTAATCTGATTGAGAGGCCTGTTAACTTCTGACCCCCAGCTGCACTCGGGTTTTGCGATTTGTGCTCAGAAATTACAAGCTGTCGAAGTTGCCTTTGACTACAACTCTTTTCGCAGTTGGCGTCGCTTCTGCGGAGATCGCCACGCCTGGGTGATGGGTCCAAAAGATGTGCAAGGCATTATCCCAACAATGTTCGCAGTAATCAAAGATTTGGTCCGCCCTATGCAGAACGAGAAGACCTCAAAGTGACTTACTCGAAAAATGGTGCATTTATAGGGGCAAAAAATGGTCGATTTTTCAAACTTTTTGGGGAAAATTTTTTTGCAGGTGGTCCTTCAAAAAGATGAATGGTCCTCATAACAGCCCCAGCAGACCTCTATATGACTACAGTATCTGGGCTCTCCAGCTCTCATCATGCCTGAGATAATCCTGTACAAATAGGCCACTTTTCGCGACGACCTTTTTCCCTTCTGCGCATGCTGGTGGACCGCAGTGAGGGTGCTGAGAAGCCAGCAAGAAAATATATGTTGTGGACAAAATTGCCTTTGCAATGAAGTTTGTAGCTTCAAAAAAGATTCAATCTGCTTGAAGTTATAGCGATTTGAAAAAAAATTTTGCAAATGCCCGGGAACTTTCTTTACAACCTAATAGAATCTTCGAGGTTTGTGCCAGCGACATGTAAAAACTAGGGTGGAAAAGTTTCTCTGGTGATAAAGTTGACTGGGTCAGGCGCAACCCCACAAAAGCTTAGACCGCCTGAGCTTTTGTTGCCTTGCGCCTGACCCTCTTAACATGTCTTCAGAATCCGGAAATCGCTTCATTCTTAGTATGATTGAGCTCCTAGCTCCTTCCTGCTACAGTGAAAATTTGGAGCCAAACACCCCAGCCTTAGAAAAATATGATCCTTGCAATTGATAGATACAATATTTCTTGTGTCGTACAGGTTTTTTATGATGACACACTTTATTTGCCTTACGTTTCGGCAACACGCCGTCGTCGGACCCCAAGTAGTTAGTTCACTTTAATCTACGTTCTCTTCGGTAAACACCGTCTTTCACTTGCGTATTCGGTTCGTCCTTTGTGGAAGTAGAGAGTTTGGAAGAAGAGGTTCACTCACTTATGTGCCTCCAATGTAGCAGTATGACTGCAGGGAATTTGCCCAATTGACTGCGAGTTAAAAATGAGCAGCGATACTACGTTTCTACTACTTTATCTAATGCCGTATCTGCCTTTCCGTAATCATAGATTGTCTGCATGTATATAAGCAGTCTCGTGGTATAGACGCTGCTCATTTTGACTCGCAGTCAATCGAGCAAGTTCCCAGAGTCATTACTGCTACATTGGTGACACACAAGTGAGTGAACCTCTTTTTCCATGCCCTCTACTTGCACAAAGGACGAATCGAATGCGCAAGTAAGAGACGGTGTTTGTTGGTGAGAGCGTAGATTAAAGTGACTGACTACTTACGCCTCCAAAGACGGTGTGTTGCCGAAACGTAAGGCAAATAAAGTGTGTCATCACAAATAACCTGTACGGCACAAAAAAGTCATTGTATTTATCAATCACAAACAAATGCCCAGGTTCCAAGATAAGAGGACATATGGAATTTAATCCCAATAAACCCATTCAGATCAAAATCAACCGTCAAATTACGGGTGATTGCAAGGTGCAATCACAAAATATCGGCGTATATATTTCAAAAACCAAAAACTCTTTAGAAAAGGATGGTGTCCTTCAGAATGTCGCTCTCATAAGTTTCGAAAGTGAAAAGGGGAAAAAAGGGGGTCGTTTAGGGCTTTCAGAGGGGTAGCGGGGTGCCCCTTGCTCAACTCTGTTATCAACGACTAAAAGAGTAACTTACTTTTGGGACATCCTGTATAATTCGAAGTGGATTAAACCGGTTGATTTCATGTCAGGATCGTTTTGAATGTTCAGTATAACATCTTCACTTCTATATTTAATTATCTTAACACAACAACAACATCTTTCTTACAAAGTTAACGATGCCAGATGTTCACAACAACTCGTGACATTCTGTGCATCGATTTCAGACAAGAAAGCGGTACAGTGGGCAATGTGTGTAGCCTTTATGGTGAGATGCGATAACAGCGTTGTAAAAACAGACAAACTAGCCAAAATGTGGTTTGTTGCATAACCTAAGTATAACGTCTGCACTCAGAATGTAATACATTGATGCATTTTCTACTTCAACTCTTCAACATTACTACCTACATCAAAACTATAGCTATCCTAGCGAGGTGGATAACATTAGCGGTATATGGTTTACTTGAATGTACTGACGATGAGGGAAGTTAAGCAACTTTTTGTAAACTGTTGTAACTTCAAGCAGATTGATTCCTTTTGAGTGTTGCAAACTTTGTTGCAAGGCAATGTCGTCTACTAGGATGGTTATTTTATTGAGTCCTCCGCACTTCATTTCGGGCCATTAGCATGCGCAGTAGGTAAAAAGGTTGACTTAAAAGTTGGCATGTTAGTGCAGGAATTTCTCACATTTTCGGAGCACAGCCTATAAAAAAATATCTCGTAAACTTTAAAAACTATTTCTGCACCCAAAATTCCCCAGTTTTTGATAAATAAGTTTAAATACTCCTGTTTATCACGGAATGAATTCTTTGTTTGCTGCAGATATTTGGGAGTAGTGACTTACACATCTCTTGGGCTCATCATCGGGGCGTGAGGATCCTCACAAAGCGACTGCGAAAACAGATACGGTCAAAGAGAAGTTTGAAAGCTTGTAATCCTTGTGCGCGTATTGTAAAATCCGAGCACAAGCTGCAGTTTTGATGTGATCAGTCTCCATATTGAGAATGACCAACCCATAGATGGTTTTCTTTGTTCACTGCGAAAAATGGCAGCAAAAAGAAAAATTGTGAAATTTTCATCGTTGCGAAGTTTCCCTTTTTGTGTGTAAGTTAAGTAGGCTTAACATCAATAAATGCTAGATGCGATACTGAAAAGCTTGAACTTTTTCTACAAAAGCATATCAAACATATGTCGTTGAGATTCAACCGAGTTCGAAAAAATGAGTCTGAAAATAAAATTTTCAATTGTCCGAGAACTTTCTTTACGGCCTAATACTTTCAAATTTGTAAGACTGCAGTGCATCTGATACATAACATATGCAATCGCTCGAGTGTGCGTAAATCGAAATTCGACAATTCATCTGGAACAAAATACACATTATAAACTATACAAACAAACACCCGTAGTCGAGCTTAAGTGTAAACAAAAAAAGTCAATACATTGACATCTTGACCCGAACGAGAAGTGCAAGCTATTATACGTAGATGGCTCACAGCCGGAAGTTTCCGAACATGTTGATGAGGGAATGTCTCCTTTCAGGCATGTTGAGATCGTTTTCTTGAGCGGATCCAGCCATTATCATAGCAGATCTAGAGTTGCAAGAGATTTGATACCTGTGATATAATTGAACTAGGTCAGTTACCTATGTACAAGTTCTCTGAGATTAGCCGCCTTTAACTCTCGATTAAGTCGCCTCATCATGATTACGTGAGATAGATACGTGTAGAGAATGAATCCAATCACTGATCCCAGTATAACAAATGACATCACTTGTGATTTTGTGGTGAGCCTGTAGAATAGGGCAAAAATGTTCGCTAAAGATTCCAATTTACCACATTTTCAAGTCATCTCAAACTCATTATCGCGTTTTTTTGTTATTGCCTTCTGATGATGATCAGTTCTAGCCTATTCTTTAACATCGCTTGCTTGGCGTGAACGTATAGTGCTTTCGTAAATTTTCATGTGAGTATGTAACGTCGAGTCATTTGTAACTAGATGTGTGCACTATAGACTGCGCGCTACATCACACGTTCTGTATTCCTTACAAGTCGCCATTTTCGAATATTTGCCACTTTTTTCTAAGGTTTGTGCATGAGTAGATTTGAACAAACATAAATGAAATATAATTTATGAATTGTGGTATACAACGTTTGCAAGGATATATTGAGACTGGAGAGCCGTCCGGTTCCGCGCGTTCTCTAAAAGCGCTCATATTAGGTTACGAATGACTCGAGGTACACAGCTGAATATTTGTATGCGTGTATGCGTGTATGTATGTTCCGAATAAAAAATTACATTGCTGAACGGATTCTCACCAATCTTTGCACACATACACTTCGTGGCCGTGGCCGTGCAGACGTTCGTGGCCTGCATTTCGTTATCAATCGATATCGAAGTCGACGATTTTATGCAAAGTATTAGGCTAAGGGCATACCTCACGCGATTTCAGTCGCGCCGTGATTTGCAATACTCCAATTGTGCATAACTCATCGTAAGCGGTTTCTGAATGTACGAAATATAGGGCATTTTATCAACTTTCAGTCGCGCCGTGATTTGCAATACTCCAATTGTGCATAACTCATCGTAAGCGGTTTCTGAATGTACGAAATATAGGGCATTTTATCAACTTACCAAAACTAAATTGCTGTGCATTTGGGGTCTGCCAGTATTGAATTTGAAGGTATCTGGCAAATTGCCAGATTGCGTGGCGACTGAAATCGCGTGAGGCCTTAGCCTTAGCTACGATGCTGGGAGTTAGCAGAGAGGGTGATTGGGCATGCTAATTACGAAGGTAACATTAAGAAAAGATACCTATTGCTTCATCAATTTAGTTGATTTTTTGCAAGGTTTAACCTCGTAGCTGGGAGCTGGTGCAAAGGAGTGAGTGAGCATGCCGATAACGCAAACATAATAACAGGATTGGCGTGAAGTGAAACAAGCACAGAGTAATATTGTACGGTAAGAATGGTGACCATTATCGTATTGTAATATCAGGTTCGGGCAAAGACGGATAGGCCAGCCAGTTTTAAATGGAAAAAAAAAGATCTCAGATTCACTTCAAACTGAATTTATCTCAATTCTATTTGGTAATTTTATCAAGATTAATAATTTACCTGTATGCGCCTCCTTTTGGATAATTTTTACCATAGTCAGGATGATGTATGGATTCAACCGACCAAATTATCATTTTTCTTTCATGATTGTCTCTCCAATCGTTCTCCCGCAGCGTGATGAATTTGGATGGGTCGATCAATTTCTGCAAGTAGAAGAACTGATAAGAAATTAACACGAAATCAACGTGCAACATATTGGAAGATCAACCTCCTTCTATGAAGAAAATTCGCAACGTTGGTCTCGTTTAGTCAAAAGTAATTGTTTTGAAATATTAGGATGTTTCTTAAGTTCGTAGAGTTTTTATAGGCTGTACCAACTAGCATCGGTTATGCGAAGTCGCGCCTGCGGCAACTTGCGACGGTGCGATGTGACGCGTGCGGACTCTGCTGCGCGTTAAGGGAGCCTCCAGACCGCGCCGGGACCGCGCCGGTTGTCGCTTTTGCAGCCGATAGCTGCTTTCGCGTAGGTTGCCGCTAATGCAGCTGAAGCGCAATGTGTCAGTTTCTGGCCCGTAGTAAAGCCGCTTCATTCAATCTCAAATGAATAAATTTTCAGTTGAGGCTTCGACGAATCAGTTTGCCTTCAGTCGAGCCATTGATTGATATTGCCAAGCACCCACGATGATAAGATTGAGAGCGCCACGTCCATGCAAGTATACGAGTCAAGACGAGTTTGCCAAACATTCACATCTACGTCATTGGCACTACCGACGGGGATGTGGCCGCACTTGTTAGATCTTGTTAAGTATCGTCAGCATCACTGTGGCTCCTCACCGACATGTTAAACTGACGTGTATCGTAAGTTACTCAGGAGTAACTTACGAGAAGTTTCTCTGCGTATCATCATTGACACACTATTTAAATCAATTGGTAGTCTAACTGAATGTGGACTGACTGAAGTAAGGTAGACTACCTCGTCAGATAGACGGACGGTCAGCTGAAATTTTATTTTTACTCTTACTACATGGGAAGCTGGTGATAGGCAGTCTACCTTACCGAATCTTAGATGAGGGCCTTAGTTCAGTTCACCTGGACTGAATTAGCTTTACTACGGGCCTCTGTCCTTGGAGCGTAGCGAGAGCCTATTGGCACTGAATGCTAGGGTTTTCGACTCCTTTGTCATCACTCTTTTGTTTCCAAAGTTCTCTTCTTTGCTATAGTAATTCATTGCAGATATGGTTTATTTGATCTGAATTCCTTTTTTCGTTCGTGTACGATGCTGGAAAAATCGATTCATTGTCGAGTGAAACCCTTTCAGTCTAAATCTCGCTGTAGAGCTATTGCAAGGCAAGGCCTTTTCGACGTCTATCTCGTTATGAAAGTGGTGTACTATGCTGGATGAGCGAGTTGCCAATGTACCTTCTTTGTTTTTGAAGCTGTATCGTGCCATAGCAGCGATTTAGCTGCAGAACTCAAATTCTCTGTACTATTTTTGCTTTTATTACTTCACTACGCTGACTAACGATCTATTCCAAAGTCATTTGGTGCCTTCTCCTTCTCCATTCAAGGTGCATACTGTTTACTTCATCATAGTAAAATAGCTAACCTTGAGTAGTTAAACGAAACTCATATCAGTAAGTGCACCTTCAAGCAGTATAGTAGAGTAGCTTTGAAATTAGAAAGTGCAAAAAACTGCGTTTTGCGACGATATCGTCCACTCAGCATAGTAGACCAACCTCAAATCGGAAAAGACAACACAGCAGAGCATATAATCAAAACGAAAGCTGTGCAAAAAAATTAGCGTTCCGCAAAGATTCATGAGCTCCCAGATTTGTGTGGAGGCGGGTTGCGGGCTTTTCCTGATTTTAATGGTAAAGTTAACGAGAGTACGAAAAACAGTGCTGCATGAAGTTCCAACAAGTTCACACTTACATTCAGGAAAAGTCCGCAACCCGATGTCCTTAATAGAAGTAGCATAGCTTCAAAACTAAAGACAAATTTAAAAAAACTTTGTTTTACGAATTCGATCAACTACCGTAAAAGAATAGTTTAGAAATGAATGAAAGAAAAAACGCCGTTCATCACTTTTTTTGCCTAAAGACAACTCTACAGCGGGAGGTAGATTGAATATTCGACAATTAGTCGATTACTCCAGCATCGTAGAACCTTCAATGAATTACTTACTGAAAGAAGAAGACCTTGGAAACAAAAGAATGGTGGCAAAAGAATAGAAAAGCCTAGTATTTAGTGCCAATAGGCTCTCGCGACGCTCCAAGGACAAAATCTGACACAATGCGCTTCAGCTGCAATGGCGGCAACCGGCGCGAAAGCAGCTACTGGCTGCAAAAGCGACAACCGGCGCTTCCGGCGCGGTCTAGAGGCTCCCTAAGGCACGTCGCTTGCGACGGTGCGCCGTCGCAGGGCATGCTGGCGCGAGACTGATGCTGGCTGGTACAGCCTATATTCTTGTCCTCAGTTTTTTGAGAAAAGTCGATTTTCGGCAGGATGCATATATCATAGGAAAAGCTTAGCAAGCTCTTTGAAAGAAACTTATTGAGTTGGATAAAATCTGGCCTACTTCATTATCTCTGCTTCCAAAGATGGAAATCGTTGAAAAGCGAAAAAAGGCATCTGACACCATTTTTTCTCATGAAAATAGCGTTTTTGCACACAGTTTCTTGTTTTCATGGAAAATGGCATTCGCACATCAATATGAGACCCATAGGGACTGTTTCAAAAGTCCACGGTTAATAGTCCCGGAAAATTCACGGAAAACTTCTGGGACGGGCAAGACGTTCTGCACTAAAAGTTGCTGGGCAAGAACAAAAAAATCGACCATACCATACGAAGCTCAATTGCACCGTCTGAACGGAGCCATTTTGCAAACAAACTTAATAGACAGGTCCAGCAAGTTCTGCATCACAAGATGGCTCCGTCCAGCGACGTCGTCAAGATAGTCCTGCAAGACTTGACCGAAAGGTACATTAGCATCCAATGTGCTCCTAAGCTCTCGCTCTAGAAGATTATCATCCGCCCTTGCCTGCCGCAAATAGAAAGGCGTTCGCATCGATTCTATAGTCGTCCTCACCCCACTAGTCGGTCGGTGGTCGAATTTGAATTCGAACTGGAGTAGGCCGGCCGCGGCAGAGCGCGGCAGGCCGCTCTACAGCCAACCGCTTGCACATGAGCTTTCCTCTTATTTTCTTCGTGTTTGTTTGCTATCTCTTGTATTGCGGCAATGTTCTTGGTCAGATTTTTAGATTTTGTACCGCTAACTACTGTTTTGTGCAAGTGTGCTCGTTTGTTTCATATTTTTTCCCATGTGAACCGGGAAGAAGGATGCGATTGGAGATTTTGAATGAGAAATCTCTTCTTTTCGGTAGGTGACATATATGCAAATATGATTTGATGAAATGCCTTTAGACTACTTTGTTTGCGGTAAGGCTGAAATTCTCTCAAAAAGTGTTTGTTTTAAAGAGTTAGCGGCACGAAATCTGAAAGTCTGATTGAGAACACCGCAACACGAGAGATAGCAAAGAAGCACGAAGAAAACAAGAAAAAAGCTTGTGTACAGTCTGCCCCAATCGGGATCAGGCCGAAGCGTCGGCGTAAATTTGCGCGCTCGCAGTGCTAGCGGTCTGCGCTGCATATGCGCGCTGTTGGAGAGAGCCAAAGGACTGAAGAGAGGGCAGAGAGGCAGGCCGTGGGCGTGACCGCGAAATCCTAGCGACGCGGACTCCCGCCATGCCAATTTTGGCCTGGTTAGGATTGGGGCAGACTGTAAGCGGTTGGCTGAGGGGCGGCATCTGCCGTGCCTTGCCGCGGTCGGCCTGCTTCGAATTCAAATTCGACCACCGACTGACTAGTGGGGTGAGGACGACTATAGAAACGATTTCAAGAGTCGGGACGACTTTTTTCGGGACCAGACTCGCTGAGATTTCAAAAATTTACTGAAATATGTGGCGAGGCAGCAATGTTGTGCGCAACCGAAAGATATATTTTTGACTGAGTTCTTACCAGTTTCTGTCATTTCACTAGTTTACGAATTTTTTACGAACTCTTGAAACGACCTAATATAACAAAGAAATGTGAGAAAAAGAAAATGAACCTTGATTTTTACGGGTCAAATTTCGCAAAAAGGAAGCGTTGCAACAATTTTTGGAGCAGCCAATATTGTAAGTTATGTCCCACACTTTATAACTCAGCAAAGGTTGTGCTGGTCCAACTCCAATAAAAAATTAGGACCTCTTGTCGATATTGTTTTGACGTTTTTCTTGACCACAGCTTGAAAAGAAACCATTTTGCACAGACTTGGTCGTTTGAAGGGCCGGGCACTATACTTGGGTAAATTCGAAATTTTTCATCGAATGAATGAATATTGAATAAATTCAAAAATAAAAAATTTCGAATAAACGAATATCGAATAAATTCGAAATTTAAAAGTTCTCGAATGAATGAATTCCGAATAAAGGGAAAATCAAAAATATCGAATGGATGAATATCGAATATATTAGGTCGTTCCGAAAGTTCTTTACGTTTTTCCAACATATCATAAAAACACGTGGAACGAAGAAAGGGAAGCGCTTCAGGCACTGTCCGACGCACTTTTCTTCCTCTTTTCAACTATCATATTCCTGTGCCGCTCGCTCTTGTGATCAGTGAGATGACCGAAATTTCGGACCTATGGTTTTTACCATGTCCAACTTTGGCAATTTTTCACTATTTTCTTTTTTGATTTTTGGAAAAGCTTTGATAGCAGTCGGATAGAGTAAACAAAGTGCAATACAATGCAATTTTTTGGCAATTTCAGCTGGCTTCTCATTATTTCTTGAGATAACTTTTTCAGAAGTCTTCACTTTTTCAAAGTCACAAAACACACAAACGCTCTGAACATCAACAAATCTTCGGTTTTCGAAACTTTCAAAGTTATTTATAATTGTACACTATTTTTACAAAGTAACTGAGCGTTTACCGCTTCGAAATATAAGATTTCGCATTTCACGGGCACATCATGAGGCGGGTTCCAAATCATTTATGGAAATTTCATGGCCAAAGACCCCACAAATTAAGAAAAAAAAGCACTCATCAGAAAGACGAGAAAAAGCTGCATCGAATGACACCTTATTTGTGCGCCGTTTTATGTTCTATGGCTTCTGGCATCCCCAAAAGTAGAATTTAATAGCATCAGAAAAATAATTCTAAAAATGTCTTAAGGTTAGCTATAGATGCCGAAAAAATGCATTGTATTGCACTTTGTTTACTCTATCCGACTGCTATCAAAGCTTTTCCAAAAATCAAAAAAGAAAATAGTGAAAAATTGCCAAAGTTGGACATGTCAAAAACCATAGGTCCGAAATTTCGGTCATTATCTCACTGATCACAAGAGCGAGCTGCATAGGAATATGATAGTTGAAAAGAGAAAAAAAAGTTGCGTCGGACAGTGCCTGAAGCGTTTCCCTTTCTTCGTTTCACGTGTTTTTATGATATGGTGAAAAAACGGAAAGAACTTTCGGAACGACCTAATATTCGAACATTGGAAGTCGAGTTTCGAATAAATATTCGAATGATTTATCGAATAAGTAGAAAACAACCATATCTCATACTTGCTGACATATCCAGCCATCCGCTCATAATTAGCGCCCTCATATCCCGTGCACCAACTCTTAGAATTTTTCAAAAATTGCTGAAACTGATAAAATAAATTTCAGTTTTGATTCAGCACCCTCATTTACCCACCTGTACCAAATTCCAACCTCATAGCTCAAGGTTTTCCAAAAATCGATAGAAGCATAAAGCAAATGTTTATTCATAACCAGCACCCTACCCCCCCCCCTGCACCAACTCCCAGCATCGGAGCTCAAAATTTTCCAAAAAATCGATAAAATCGATAAATTAAATTTTTATCCATAATCAGCACCCTCATCTACGCTCTTGTACCAACTCTCAACCCGTAGCTCAGAGTTTTTCAAAAATCGATAAAATTGATGAAGTAAATTAAAAAAATATACTAGTTCGCGAAGATCTCTAATACTTTTGCAAGCAAGAGTGCTCACTAATGTGTCTTTTGCAAAAGGTCCACTAGTGTGGACCTTTGCGTAAGCAAAAGCATGAGCAATGCAAAGGAAAAGGAACAGGCACGTCAACACACTTCTAGTATATGAACTCGGAACATGAGCTTGAATTTGAAAGCTTTTTTGTGCTGATTTGGTGCCAACAATGCGAACAATCCCATTGATCGAAAAAGCATAAGTTAAAATCCACATATAATTTTTTACTGTCGAAAGCAGTCGGAGGAATGCGACTCTCCATACAGTTCAAAGGTCAGCACGGTTGCAAAAAGATGTATCACCGAATTTTGTGTGAAAAAAACGCAGACAAAGCGAGCTTGATATTCAGCAGTTGGCTCTGCAAAAAACTTGAATAACCTAACAAGGGAAGCGTGTTTGGTCAAAGTGGCCTTTCCAGATGAGACCCATACTGCTTTGAAGAGCATTAAGCGGTGATTCCAAATCTGCCATCCAAATCTGCTCAGCGCCTCTGGACGCCGAGTTATGACCGATTTTAAGAGCGAAAAATGAATGCAAAATTTAGGTAAAATCGATTGTTACAATCATTCCAGCGCTCAGATAAAGCAATGTTTAGTATTAGCATATTAGATAAAATGTATCCATTGCATAAACGGCTCTGACACTTGACACTGGACCTTTGAGCAAATTTGAGATTTGTTGGGAATTTCAAGGTTTTTTTTGCGATTTTGTTGAAGTTTTGCGTTTAATTTTTTTGCCTGAAAAACACCCATAACTCGGCGTCCAGAGGCGCTGAACAGATTTGGAAGGTAGATTTGGAGTCATCGCGTAATGCTCTTCAAAGCAGTGTGGGTCTCATCTGGAAAGACCACTTCGACTAAACACACTTTCCTTGTAAGTACAGAGTTCATTCGAATACGAATTCGAATAAACATTCGAATAAAACATTCGAATAAAATCTATTCGAAACCATGTTTTTTGATTATTCGAGTTTTCGGATTTTATTCGAATCCTTGTTTTTTATTATTCGAGTTTTCGACTTTTATTCGAGACCCTGTTTTTTGATTATTCAAGTTTCGAATTTTATTCGAAAATGGAAGTACTCCGAATATCGAGTTTCGAATGCGAATATATTAATGCTTTATTCGAATGATCAACTTTCTATTCGATTCGGACCCAAGTATACCGGGCACCCTTCACGCGACTTCAGTCGCGATTGGATTGCGATTTGGCAATTTGCCAGAAGGCTTCGGATCCAACACGAACAAATTGCACATGCATAGTGTGTATAACTTATTGATAATATGCTTTATCTTCTGACGTTTAAAATGTGCTTACAGAGGGTTATGGATAGTTGGAATACTGCCAAATTGCATTGCCACGGAAATCGCGTGAAGTATGCCCGACTCTCAAGAGATCAACTCATAAGGCTACTCATAAAACGTACATCACCAACTTTCTGGATTGTATCGAAAGTGATTGAAGTCATAATATCTCTTGTTCTGGATTTTATTGCAATTTTTTTGTATTTGAAATTCTAAAGTTCAAGTTCTGAATTTTATTGCAATTTTTTTTATATTTGACATTCTAAAGTTCAAGAACTTCCTTCTTTTGCTATTCTTAACAGTTTTGTCTCTAAAACATCTCAAAGTTTTTATCTACCAAGTTATTAAAGGGCAGTATTTCTTTTGTTTAGCGCAATTCCAGCTAATTAAAGAGAGAAGTTCTGTTGTAATGCGAGAACTCCTGAGCCAATCTGATATTCCAAAGTAAGAACTCCAAACTTCGGCTCATGTTTCATAGGTACTTATAAAGCTACTAAACGGAAGTATTTTTTATCTACCAAAATTTCCGCTAATCAAAGAGAGAAGTTCCGTTGTAATGCAAGAACGTCTGAGCTAATCTGATATTACCAGAATAAGGACTCCGAACTTCAGCTCATATCTCATAGATACTTACCGTCTCATTATTGATGTTGCTCTTATCTGAGGCCATCGCTTCGAGCAACGTGAGATTTTCGTCTTTCACAGGCTCAAAGGGGTTACTGGAGTTGAAGATGATCGGTACGAACAGGACAGGACGAGCGGTGGCTTGCATGATGGATATGAACAGCCACAAAAGCATTCAACATTGAATATTCCTAAAATAAAATTACCTTCTGAATCTATATTCTTTCCCCTGTTTAGTGCGGCGATATCATGTGCAATAAATCAAATATGATTAAAACTGTACTTTCGCTAGATACAATGGATATCCATAGAAGAAGTAAGGCATCACTCAAGAAACAGAAACTAGCAAGGATACAACGAAATAGCCAGAAGTTTGCAACTATGTGCGATATGTTCTAGCATTTTCTCAGCAAGCGTATGACAGAAAATCAGTGAAAGCAAATCAAGCTTGACAATTTTTCTCTTGGTTTGCCTTCCTTTGATGGAAACGTCAACCCAAATTTGTTGTTCATCCAGGCGCACATAATTTCGTGTGCTGACTTTTTGACCTCACTCGCATAAAAGCACGGGACACATCCAGTCCAGCATGTATATATTTTCTGCACGCCCTCATAAATATCCCGAACCCTTTTAGAGAGGATACAACTCTTAAAATTTTGGACTTTAGATTTAGGTCAAAGCCAGGTGACTGGGCATGCGAAGAGTTTCAAATCTAGTTAGCGAAATACTGTGCCTTTTGCAAGACCATATTGTGACCAAGTTTACTGAAGAAGTAGTTTGATACGCACACACATTTGTCGTTTACTTCCACGTCTTATGCGGTCTTGTTTTTTGGGCTAACTACCTCCTCAAGTCATATATTTGAAGTTGAACACAAAGGTCAAACCAATCGGTACCTACGAGCGAAGTCAGGTGAAAGTCGACAAATTTTACTCAATAATGGTAGTTAACGCGCCTTATTATTCTGCCGGGCTACAGGTCCACAGAACTAAAATGAGTTTGCGGAGTCTCCTTCAGTCATGATTGGTATGTGGGACGACTAGGGTGCATCGAAACACGCAAACTCGATAGATAAGAGTTCAAGTGCTTTAACTATAATTAGTGAGTCCTTTTATGTTCCCTCCGTTTCCGTGGATACGAAAATTTCTTTTGCAATCAAGTTGTTTGACGTATCTCTCTACAGCAGAATGGGGCCAGCCAATGCAGACCATGGTCTTTTTTTATCAAAGCTCACATAATAGGCCAAAATGCACAACTGCTCCGATTACAAATATCATAGAAGCGTTGTCTAAAATTTGCACTAGCTAAGTAGTGGATTCCGTCATAGCATCAATAAGTTGAGAGACTTGATAAAGAGCAATCCTAACAATTCAAGAATAAGAGCAACATGGGTTTGACCTTGAGAATAGAGAAGGATAAAGTCGAACTGACAAAAAGCTTGAAAATTAGGAGAGAATGAAATTTCAAAAACTTCTGGTAGATTCACCCTGCAGAACCAAAGAAGTTTACAACAAGCACAAAAAAGATTAATTAGAAATTGCAATAAATTACAACAAGTTAAAATGCAATACGCTTCAGTTATGTTCCTCACATTTTACCTTAAAATAGTCTGTGAAGTTGAAATCAAAGAATGTTCTGCTATTTTATAGGGGCTATATGCTGAGTATAGTGCATCTAGTCAAAAAAACTGCAACTTGAGAGGTGAAATTTGAAAGGAATTGTCTGTAAAAGATTTTTATGAAAAAAATCTGAAAATTCTACTTCACTCCGCAATTTCGCTGTCAATGTGAGATTGCTACTCAGCAGAGTTGATTTTTTCTGATAATACCATAAGTTTATTTATAAGTTCATACAAAATTAAACCATCAAAAACGGTCGAAACTATTTTTTGTGAAATAGAAATAAGTATAGGCGAGTTGAAGAAGTTTCAAGAAAAAGAAGTACTTAGCAATGCGTAACCAACTGAGAAAAACTCCAGTTGAAGTTCCCACTTACTTCAGATTGGGTTTCAATCAGAATCTAAAATCATGTCATGTTTTTCGTTTTGATAGGGTATTACTTGCTATCATCATCAGTCACTTTTCTATCACTCTGCACCTTTGTTACAAGCGTGCAGAAGATTATGCTAAAACAAAAGATTTCTGATGTTTGTAGTCGAGTTGAAGAAATGTAGGCTGGAAAATAACGCATTGAGGGCTGGCTTTAAATGGGTCAAAAAACTGTGAATTGTTTTGGCAGCTTCGCTTCTCTCTCTGCTTTCTATATTTACATCATTCTGAATTACAAAACCGATTTTAAGAGCCATACAATGGCTGTGTGTGTAGATAAAAACCTTGAAGGAGAAACAGTTGCACGAATTTTTGCTAAAGTTACGTGCAGTTGAGGATCCACACTAATGGAACGTTGTGGACGCTCAAATTAACCTTGAGAATTTACCAACTACAATATTAATCCTAACGTATCCGCATTCGAGTAATAATCAAATTTTCCGGCAAACGATGTAATTGGAATGGAAGCATACGAAATGGTCATCAACTCAGACACATTTACGGCTGATGACCGGGCGACGAAGGCCTTCCGGCCAAGGACCGCGCTACGTTTCGGGGCGGGGCCCAAAACCGGCCGAGGAGTGGGCGAAAAACTACCACCGGCTGGCTTCCGCAGAAGCGCGCGAATGCGCACAATACCATGCCTACTGTCAGGATAAATGGCGAATATGAGATCTAATCATTACTGCACGGCTTACTTCACCTTTCAAATCTTGTTATTAATGGTTGTTTTTGTGTGAATGTGTCCTGTTCTTTGTCTTTTCTCTTGTACTATCAAGTGTTATGTGTATTAGTGATTTGTTTGTTTTCAAGTGTTAGTGATTTTTGTTTTCAGCAAATCAGAAAAGTTCTTCCATGCTTTGCCAGTTGTCGTAGTGGTTATACATACTTAGGAATGCTTACAAGTAATTCTAATGCTATCCTCTTTCGTTGCTGCACCCTCCTCTATAAAACTGGGCAGACTCGCCTAGGTACGTAAGTATCTGTTTTCCAGAGCAGAAGTCCATGAACATGTTTCAGATTTGGAGCACCTTTAGTTGGTAGATATTCCGAGGTTTGGAGCGCACCTAGTTCGCAATTTATACAGCGTGCTTGAGTCTACCATTGATGGATATTTGCTAAGATTGCACATGGACATTCTGCTTATTTGGGTACTCCAAAAAAAAATCCTGCTTTTTAAGAACTTTTCTCTGACATCATGACGCTTAATAAATAGTTGTTTGGAATAAGTGGCTATACATGGTAATGTTTGGAATTGTCTGTACATTCATATCACAACAGGTGAGCAGAACTCGTATTCCTCGTGCAAAGCCCAATTATGCTATTTGAACGATTGATAACGGATGTACAGTCACCATGTACTATATGTATACGGGATCTCTATTGGGGGGGGGGGTGGATAATAACGTAATTATTCGTCGTGCAAAGCTGTCATAGCTACTGATGCTGGCTTCGCAAACATATTGATAAGGATTGTATCATTACTTGTGTTTTTACATGGCAGCATTTTGTGAGTTGAGTATTGTGGATTATGAGAGCTGAAATGTCCTGCATGTAGGTATTGAAGCTCGAGCCTTTATGCGATATGGCCGTTGTTTTTATATAGTGCATTGTCGATACATACCTATGTTATATTGCATACGTTGATGTAACACGTGTTTTTCTGATCTGTGCCCATTCTCATGAAAGAAATAAAATATTGTAATGGATTTCCTTGTTACATTGTATGTGATTAGGAAAATAATGTGCTCAACGAAGATAAACCTGCCAGGAACTGATAATGACGCAAAACTGAGCCAATAACGTCGCTGCACCGCAGCTGATTCGGGCTGGCACACGCACCATTTTGCGCCGAACCGGTTTGGGCGGCCGGCGGCCAGCTCGGCCGAAACAGAGGTGTTGCCTCAGCGGTCATCGTCCGGTCACCAGCCGGAAAATGTGTTCGAGAAGTCATTTGTAACTTTTTGTGAGGTTGCACAGTATGCACGGCAACTTTTAACATCATTTTTAATAGCTTTTCAGTGAAACCTTTCTCAGCGTAACAAACTGTAGAAATGCCTGTATCGCTAACTAACACATAAATCAAATCAAAAGAGACAAGGAAACAAGGAGCTAAAAATGAGCAGGTTCTAATCTTACAATTTGTCAAGTAGGGCACATGATGCGCGACGATGCGTTCATGACACATGGAGCCACATTTAACCTGATTTGTTGAAGATAAGAAGATCGAACAACAGCACAAAGTCATAAAGTTTAAGAATCGATCATATGAAGCTTAGTTTGGAAAGCTTGCGAGATATTAAAATGATTTTTTTGAAATTTAGTGGATTGGCAATATTTAATAATAAAACCTCCAAACTAGTCGGCAATAGAATAGGTAGACAATTGTTTTTTGTAAGCTCGCAGTTTTCAAGGCTGCCGGGAAAGCTTTTACAGGAACTCTGGTCAAAATGCACGGAGAAACGCTTGACGTAATACTTACTATTTCAAGAATCAAGCGACTAGCTACCTTTTCATACATTCGCCAATACATTCAATGAAAACGCCTTCAGCAAGCTTTCCCTCTTTCCCTCATAGCCCGTTATCCTATGAATGATGAAGTGGGTTCAATCAAAGAAATCTCTTTTTTGCACTGGTATTTCTTCCAGCTTATTTGGTCTCTATTGAGACTCACTCACCACAAAAACGAAACTATTCTCAAGGGGGCTGCACTCTTGCCTTATTATTCTCCTCCTTCCATCGCATCTTGCAAAGTGTGCAGAAACGGTTTTGATGTGAAATGCGGAATAAGAGGAGGAAAACTCTTGCAAACCGGAAATCGTCAACAGCTTGATGCGCTCGGATACCAACTGCCATTTTCGAAGCGCTTTTGAAGTTCTGCGAACTAAAGCAGTTGTGCGTGGTGGTGAGATTGGAATCAGTGAATTGTTAAGATATAAATCTGACTTAAAGGCCTCAGAACCTGCTCAGACACTGGGAGCGGCCGAGCCGCGGACCTTTTTCGGCTGGAAATTCGCAGCGTCCGCGGCTCGGCCGGAAACAGCGACGGCTCGTCCGCTTTTGGGCCGCGGCTCAGCCGGAGCAGGTTGTCGGGCCGTCT